CGAACAGAACTTGGCATTCTTTCTGAATAGCAGATGCTGCACTTGTTTAAGCAGAACACTTAAAATTACAGATACTCCTTATTTACCGACCACTACTGGGACCAGCGATTTGGTTGTTAAGCGAAGCGGTTGCTAAGTGAAACCATGACTGTGCTTATGATCTTACTTCAGCTTCCCTTTGCTTTACAGACTTGTGATGGTTGTAAATGCAAGAATTGGTCGCAAAGTTACTTTTTCATCACCGTCATAACTATGAATGGTTGCTAAATGAGGCAGTAGCTAAATGAGGACTACCTGTATATTCAATTTGTGATTGGAAAAACTTTGGCCAGCTACACAAAATTCCACTGGAAAACAACATGCTTGATAACCCTCCTACCCAAAAGACTGTACTCTTTTATGAATAATCTACTGTCCAATGCAGGCTTAAGAATTCACGAACACCTTCCTTTCTCCTCCTCCCAGCCTTCTTTCTTCATGCCAGCAGCCCTGCTTAGAATTTCTCAGTTCCTGCTACCATACAGAGTTAGCACTTTAAAGCAGTGTCACTGGAGAGAACAGGAAGCGCAATGGCTTCCAACCCAATGCAGCTTTAAATTGCTGAGATTTGGTGGATGAGGGAGCTGGAATGCCCAGATGTGCTTACCTTGTTTTTAGATCTTCCACCTCTTCATTGAGAATATAAGGATTTTTAGTGAGAAATGCCCCAAGCTGTGTATCTTCCAAACCAATATCCTTAAGAAATAGAAGGATTTTTTTAATATCGTTTTCAAAGTCTAGTTTTACAAGAAGCTGACCTGCATTTGGACGTTTTTCCACCCTGGACAAGTCGACTCCTGCAGGATATTTAAAGATACATTAGACAGTGATTCAGGGAAATAAATATTTGTCCTGTAGCATACCCAATTTTATACATGCAAACACTAAAAGCTGTGTGCTCTACTTTGGATCCAAATATGATTATACTTGGAGCAGCCCCACTGAAATCAATCAGACTTAAGATACATATTGCTACCTTAAGTCACATTGATTTCAACAGGTTTACTCTAAGTCTGATCACATCTGAATCCACCCCTGGTGTTAACAATTTTCTGAGTTTCACTGCACACTCTTTCCTTTGTGGCCATTTTTTGATGTGATTGAGTAACATGGAATAGCAACTCTAAATCATTAAAGATTGTAGTAGAAAGAGCTCAAGGCTCATTGATTCCTATCATTCTGGTAAACTCAACACATCAGTTCCATTCTTTAGAAGTCTCAAAAGAATACTGGTTATTGGCCCCAAATAGTTTAATATGATACAGATACAGAAATTTTAACATGATACTGATTATAAAGATATAAATCCTGAGGTACACATAGATAAACAATAACTCTAAGGAAGTTTTTTTCCCAAATTCATGAATTTCTTCCATTTAAGGACACTTCTAACACAAAGAAATTGTGTAAAAAACCCTGGTTTCTGCCCTCAAGGAACACAAATTAGATTTCTGCAATAGTATTAACCTTCCATCTCCCACCTTATGATATGTTTAGCACTGAACTTCCAATACATTCTGCAGACATGAATCTGCTGCATATACAAAATCATGACTGGATATTATGTGGTAAAAATGGTAATTGCAGAGTTCCAACATATCACAAAGTGTCTAGCAAGTGGAAATACACTTACCTAGAAGCACCAACTTGCGCAATGTTTCTGAGTGATCAATATAATCTCTAAGTGAGAAAGATTCTAATGGAGGTGGTGGTGCAGCTTTGATTTGAAGAGCCTCATTTTCCGAAATTTCCTCCAAGGCAGATAAAGGCAACTCATCTTCCAAATCTTAAGTTCATTAAAACGAAAAAAGAACTGAAGTGAAGGAAGGGATAGAATACTGAACACACCAATGGATTTTATATAGTCAACACTATTCCTCTGAGCTGTCTTAGCTACTGATAAATAACCCTACAAAATTAATTGCACATTATGACAATTCTTTAATTATCCTGAATTAAGTTGATTATTTAATCCTTTAATTTCATTATTTGTTCTCAAAATATAGAAGGGAGATTCTACCCTTTCAATAGACTGTTGAAGACTATTATTTTTTAAAATGAGAAACCAAAAAACAGTATGGAATCCGTGAGGATGGCAATGCATGATTATTGAAACTCACCCAGTTTTTATTAGATAATTCTGTTGTTACAGCATCCTATGAAAACTGAAGCAATAAATCTGGTGCACTTTAGAGTCTCAAAGATTCCCAATGGTTTTTGCCATTTTGCTTTAGAAGATTATTAGTGGCAAGCAGTGTTATTCATCTTCCATTTGTATACTGCAATATTTGCCCAATTTAATATTATTTCCTCATTACTTACGCTAGACAACAAAGACTGCAGTAGGTACAATAACCTCAATTCATGCCCAACATCTAGCAATATACAGTAGTAAATTGTGGTTTGATTGAGTAATCAGATTTTACTTCATTTCCAAAGTTGTGGTTCTGAAGTAGAGATCTACAACTCAATCTTTACTGCTATTGCACTAGAAAAGATGAATTATCACATCCCATCACATCTTTGCTCAAGGCTACACATATTCAGCTCCTTTAAACTCTTTCAGAGGATTAAGTTTCTAGCTCCTAAGATGTGGTCACATGACATCATGCTTTTCTGGCCCCAATTACCATCATTAACTAAGGACTACCTGTATAAGAATTACCCTCAACTCTACTGAATAATTTTCTCAGGCTCAGTTAAAAAGTGTCATTTAATACTATGACAAACAAATTCCAAGCAATTTTTGAGCAGAGAAGGCAGAGGAAATAAAATTTGAAGATTAATTTTAGACATGATGCTGCAATATGTCAAGTTCAACATCATATACATGTAATTTGTTACTTACCTTGAAGCAATACATCAGTATCTAAACTAGATACTATCTCAGTTTTTGGCTTGTCAGTGAAAGAAAGTGAGGTCTGACTGGTTCCAGAACTTGAACTGCAGAACAGCATGTGATTATCCAAATGCAAAATTCTAAAGTTCTTTAACAGCATTTGGCAAAAGTATCTGTTAGGACAAAGCTGCTGCAAATCCGGTGGTTCAAGAAAACATCTCCATGTTTTTATTGATTGTTTTCTCAGTTCTGAACTCTTCATAGTATTGTATGCATTTAACAAAAGGCAGTATCTGGATAACTGTCGAGTCCACAAAGCCATCTTACTGATTAAGTTCTGTAACAAAAAAACCAAAGGAACATTTAAACTGATATTCATTAGATAGAATAAGGGTTTGCAATGTTGGTTTGCAATGGCAAAGTGTTACAATGTTAGGGATAGAAAACTTTGAATGCCCTCAAAACTTGGTTTTGCCGTTGGGCATGGAGATCCCATAGAAGTGTGGAGCTCATCAAATAGCTGGCGTAAGTTTAGACTGCATTTGTCCCTGTCTTTTTCACTGTTACATTTTTTAAAACTGTTTTTAATTGGTTTTAATGGTTGAATTATGTTGATTGTTTAGTTTGTTTTAATTGTGTACGCTGTCCAGAGTCACACGCAAGTGATGGGCAGCTATATAAGTTCAGTCAATCAATCAAGTGATAGATGACTCTACACAGAATCTTTTGCTGGAGGTGAAGGAGCAGCAGATAGGGCAGTGAAGGAAACATGAGCCTGCAATGAGCCTGCAATTATTTCTTTAACCATGTCCAGTCAAAGAGTTGATTTGGAATTGGGCAATGCCTAAATCGAATGAATGAATAAATAAAACAGTGGGAAACCATGCTGCCAATATCACTAAAATTCAGTGACATGATCAAAGGAAGCTACAGTGACTGCAAAAAATAAATAAATAAAGAGTAAAAGAAAAAAGAAAAAAAAAGAAAGAAGGCTTGAGGGGGATGCTATTCTACCATCAGTATGAAAATAAGAACCAGTCTGCTTTTGTACACAGATTGGGGATGATCATCTTGTCTTTTGCTTTAGCCTACCTCTGGGGTAGTAATAATATCTGATTATTTACAAAGACTGAAATTAATAAGGTAGTTTTCAGATTGAACAAGAACTAAAAAGCATCCAACACTGTTTTTCAATACTGCAATTCTTCATTCTGCTGCCTTTGTAACAAGAATGAGAACAGGGGCCTTCCTTCAAACACTACCAGTGGGACCCATCAGAGTTGCCCATCAAGGCTGTTATGATTAACAACCCCAGTAATACATCCCTAAAGTGTTTTTCCCCCAAGAAAAACACTGTTATATCCTCAGCCAACGTGACTGGAATAGTGTTATACACCAGGGAGGAGATCCCTGTAAACCTCCAGATGCTGTTTGGAGAATAATTCCCCCTTACAGTTAATCTAACAGCAGAACCAAAACTAGGTGAACTTGGGAACATTGCAGAATTATATAGCACGCCCTTTTCTCTCTCGTTTTTACAGTATGGGCATAGAGGGTACACAATCTGTGGCCCTCCAGAGTTCCTGGACTAAATCTCCCACCATCCGTCACCAAAACGCAGGATCCCAAATTAGGGAAGATGCAATGGGTGTCCAGCTAGAATGCAAGCCCCCTGATCTTTACAATATTTACTCCAACATCGGCCTGATCTACGTTTAGGCTGATTCCCACATTGGCGTGTATTCGTACTCTGGCTCTCCCTCCGAGGAGGCATTCACGGGCTCCCGCCGCTCACCCCAGGAACGGCGAGGGATCCCCTCTTCACCTTTCCTCGCAAGCCTCCCCAAAACGTCTTGCAGGACACCCACCGAGCCCAGAAACCCGGGGCGGCGCTCACTTCCGAGGGAGGACGCGCCAGAACGACCCGCTCACCCGGCCGCACGCAGGGCCAGGGAAAGCTGCAGCTCTCGCCCTCGGGGGAGGATCCTTGGAGGCCTCCTCTTCGGCAAAAGAACCCGCCCCGAGGCTCCGCGTTCCTTTCGGGAGGCTCCGCTGGCTTGGAGCGCCTG